CTCTGAACTCCACGTGTCAGTTATATGGCATGTGTGTGCTCCCAACCCTGAACAAACAAATAAGTACGGTGCAAAAAAATCTGAGCATTGGGGCCTGGGCATGTAGACTAACCACAGAGTCATGAGCTCCCTGGAATGATGGCAACTTTTTATATCTCACTAGTACTTGGGTTAAACAAGTTTGTTCATTTGGCAAAATTCATTGAAGATTCATGCATTGCTTTCTATCTATCTATCTATCTATCTATCTATCTATCTATCTATCTATCTGTATTTCAAGTCAGGGTTTCTCTGTGTAGCCTTGGCTGTCCTTGACTCACTTTGTAGAACAGGCTAGTCTTGAACTTGAAAGAGATCTGCCTGCCTCTGCCTCCCCAGCACTGGGATTACAGGTCTGTGCTACCATGCCCTGCTAGATTCATGCATTTCTACAGCATTTTGCCTGCACACAAGAAGAGGGCACCAGATTTCATTACAGATGGTTATGAGCCACCATGTAGTTGCTGGGAATTTAACTCAGGACCTTTGGAAGAACAATCAGTGTTCTTAACCTCTGGAGCCATCTCTCCAGCCCAGATTAATGCATTTCAATGTATTTTCATTTTACTTACAAGGAAAAACATCCTGAAAACAAATACTAGTTAAAATCTGGTTAAACCTATCCTTTGTGTAAACCTGCCTAAGTCATTATATCTGACTGGTTGGTTTAAACAGCCTACACCTGGGCAGGGCAGAACTGGGTAGGCGAGGTAAGGCCTCTGGGCCTTGGGTACAGGAGAATCACAGGAGACAGATGGATGAGAAGAGAGGAGGAAGGAGAACACCATGATGGGTTAGGTGGAGAAGGAACCATGTGGGCAGGGAGGTAGGATTCCAATAATGGCGAGAAAAGGCCCAGAAGAAGAATACAAGCAAGTATCTAGGAATTATGGATGAAAGGAAGATGAGATGAGGATTAGGTGGATCTCATTGGATGGGGGCTGGGAGATGGATGGTGAGGTTATTGAGCCAGTGTAGATGAAATATCTGCCTAGGCCAAAGTAAATAAAGCAATTATAAAATCTAGCAACTGTCTGTGTCTTCTTATTTGTGATAGCGGGTTAAATAATACCTCTGTGAAAATCTTAGTGCTAATAATACACATTATATAGCCCAACACTCATTCATTTATTTATTTATTTACTACAGCAGGTATCACTGTAGTCCAGGCTGGTCCTGAACTTTAGGCAATCCTGTTTCAGCCTCCCAAGTGCTATGATTATTTATATACATATGCAACAGGCAGGCTGTGGTAGTGAATGCCTTTAATCAGCACTCAGGGAGGCAGAAGCAGGCAGATCTCTGACTTCAAGGCCAGCCTGGTCTACAGAGTGAGTGAGTTCCTTCCAGGTCAGCCAAGGCTACACAGAGAAACCCTGTCTCAAAAAACAAAACAAAACCAAACAAAAAAAAAAAAAATATATATATATATACAATAATAAACATGGAGGAAGAGGCAAGTGTCTTTAATCCCAGCACTCCATAGGCAGAGGCAGGCAGATCTCTGTGAGTATTTCTGAGGCAGCCAGGGCTACACAGAAAAACCCTGTCTCAAAACAAAAAAAAATTAATTGGGGGGTTTATAGAGATGCCTCAGTGGTTAAGAGCACTCACTATTCTTGCAGAGAGGCCATAGGTTCAGTTTTCAGTGCTGATGTAGCCAACAACCATTTGTAACTCCAGGTCCAGGAGATCTGATACCCTCTTCTTGCCTCTGCAAGCACCAGGTACATACATGGTACACACAAGTACATACATACATACACACAACATACTCACACAATAAAATAATGTTTTTTAAAACCTAAAAGGTAATCATCAATTTCAAAGCTGCAGATAATACCTCTGACCCATGAGTCATGGTGATAGCAGGCAGGATGTTTAGCTAGCTGCATATACATGGCTCTTCTATCCCCACTTCTATTTTTCCCAATTTCAGCCAATGAAGACTCCTACTGAATTTCATCCTGGGGAAGACAGACTTGACACTGACTCTCATCTCCACATTTGACTGTCTTATAAATAAACTTGCAAAATGAGTCCTTTCAGAGACTTGGCATAGCAGGTGGGCAAAAGGGTTTGGCTCACTCAAAATGGCTTGTGAAGTTGGTAGCAGCTTTCTTATTTATAAAATAATAATTATCTTAAATTCAACAAAATGTGGTAATTAAAAAAAGATAATTACTTTGTAGCTCATAAATAACCATAAGCTCACATCCATGGTTGGAACCTTATGAGTACTTTGGGCAGATGGGCTGTAAGTGTGTAATTTCTAGTCACTTAATCAGTGAAGCTGGGTGGTGGCCAGAAGTGCACCCAGCTCTTGGGAGGAAGAGGCAGGTGGATCTCTGTGAGTTCAAGGCCAATCTGGTCCACAGAGTCCAGAACAGCCAAGGCTACACACAGAGAAACCCTGTCTTGAAAAACAAAAGAAACAAAAAAGTCAGTGAATAACAGTAATAACAAAAAAGGTATTGGTGATGGCTTCACAAAGTTCTCTACGTTGATGATGGTGAGTTTTGAGGTCTATCTGGCTTTCCCATAAGTCCACAGGAATGAAACAAAGCACTTGAGTCTTGGATATTGAAGACAGGGGGTGGTGGCACACATCTTTAATCCCAGCATTAGGGAAGCAAAGACTGGTTGATCTCCATGAGTTCAAGGCCAGCCTAGTTTAAAGCCAGGGCTGTTACACAGAGAAATCTTGCCTCAAAACAAACAAACAAATAAATAAAACAACAAAAGACTTTGAGATTGTTGTGGTAGCCTGGTCCAAGTTAGTCATTTTGGAAGAAGGAGCATAAAAAATAAAAACATGTAAAAAACATAGTAGACTAGATAGTGTTGCCACACTGACATCCTCAGTCTTAGACCTTTAAGGATCTCACCTCAGACCAGACTTAGATGTATGGTTTTGACATAGAAAAGAGTTTCAAGACTAGTCATTCTATGAAGGAGAGTTTGGCCTTATTTATTTATTTACTTTAATGGAAACATTATTTATTTATTTATTGATAGTTTGTGATTATGACAGGCACTTCCATGACAATAAAAAAGATGGCTTTAGCTGGGCACGCTACCTGTAATCACAGCTTTCTGGGAGGCAGAGGCAGGTGGAGCTCTGTGAGTTCGAGGCCAGGCTGGGGAAAGAAGACCCTGGGGTCTCTTAGGGATTCCCAGCTGCTCCCCAGCCCTCCTCCATATCACTCACTCCTCCACCATCTTCTTGTAGGTAGAGATCTCCTTAGCATACAGCAGCTTGTTGCTGGGAGAGTCCTGTGGAAGACAAAAGCCTTGACACTGGGGCTAACTCAGCCATTCGGTCCTCACAAAGCAGTAGCCAGACTCCTGCTTGGACTCTGTGTAAGAAAGCAGTAGGGAACTTTCTTACAGCTCAGGCCTGTAATCCCAGCACCCTGGAAGGCAGAGGCAGACAGATAACTGTGAGTTCAAGGCCAGCCTAGTCTACAAAGCAAGTCCAGGACAGCCAGGGCTACACAAAGAAACCCTGTCTGGAAAAACCACCAGCCCTCAAAGAAACCAAACAAACAAAATGACTCTAAGGCAATGAAGTGTGAAATTGCAATACACTCTGGCTAAATACTTTTCACCCTCCTTATCTCCATCAGCATTGTGGCTCCAACTTCCAACAGAATCAGAGTTGGGACTTAATAGAAATATTTTAATATAAGCTTAAGGACAAGTGTTAAGACATACAATGCAGCCTAGTGGTGGTGGTGCACACCTTTAATCCCAGAGCTTGGGAGGCAGAGGAAACAAAACACAGAGAGACAGAGCCCTTTGGTGTATGTGGTAAAGGCTGCCTTTAATTCCAGCAGAGCCACAGACCTCTGTGAGTTCAAGGTGCACCTGATCTACATATAAGTTCCACACAAGCTAGGATTACATAGAGAGACCCTGTCTCACGCGAGGGTCAGAAGACTTAGAAGAAAGTAAAATGCATCCAAGAGGATAGGTGTAGGTTTCTCAAGGAGCCAGTAACACCAATCTATAGGTATGGGCTCCATAAGGGGGAGCTGTAATTGTTTGGGCATTGGTCGTATATCTCATCTCGATGTCTCTTAGGTGGTATTATTTCAACAGATTACAAGGGCCCCCTGGGAATATGCCTTGGATGGAAATCTGATAAGGTAAACTGAGAAGCTGATAGGGTTGCACAAGAGATTTAGTGTATGTTCTTTCCCTGTAAACCGTATTTCTAATGGGATTTCTGTGAAAAACACAGGTTTACAGCTGGGAAGAAAGGCCTTAAGCAGTCATTAAATGTGCTGGAGGTGGGCAGGAGGAAGGTTCTCCAATCTCCTTCTCATGTCCCCCCAAATTTTCCTGCCTTTATAGCCTCGCCTCATTGCCCCTTGGTTCTAACAAACTACATTACTCCCGGAGGCAGCAGCAGGCTGCCTCTTTGATAGCAAAAGGGGGCACACCGGGCTGGAGGAGGAGTGGGTCTGGGGCGGACATGCCAACTCAACTAGAATGGCCTTCAATAAAGATGGGTAGTGGTGTCCAAACCCGAGGGAATCCCAGTGTAGTACAGGAGAGCTATACACTCAGACACAAAGTTGTAAACTTAAAACACTGAGGTGTTAAGACTTATTTTTCGAGTGTTTGCCTGTGTACTACATGCATGTCTGGCGCCAGTGTAGGTCAGAAGAGGGCATCGAATCTGCTTGAAGTGTGGTTACAGTTGTGAGCTCACCCACGTGGGTGCTGAGAATCGAACCCGAGTTCTCTGGAAGAGCAGCCCGTTTTCGTACTCTCTGAGCCATTTCTCCAGCCCCAAACATCGTCGTTTTCATATTTGTTTGTTTGTTTGTTTGTTTTTGTGCTGGGATTGAAGGCATGCGCCACCACCGACCGGCCTTGATGTGGTTTTCACACTTTTAAAGTATTGAGTTTTTGAGGTTTTCTGTTACTAGCTTGGGCGTTTGTCCAGCATGAACCTTGTAGATGACTGATAAGGTGGGGCACCTATGACACGCAAAATGAGCATTATACTCACAACCCTCGGCCGACTGGATACCCCTGGGTGGTCCAATACAATTCTATGTGGTCCAGAGGGGTGAAAACGTCTGACACCCCAGGTTGACACCACTTCACGCCCAAAGCCCCTGAAGATCCGGGCGCGGGCCAGGGAGATCAGGAACCGCCCTGGCTCGCCTTGCCAGATGCAGCGCCGCGCTAGCCCTCTACTGGCCGACCCGGGTCACGCAACCTCCGTTATCGGGAAGCACCACCAGCTCCAGACCCCTCTAACCGGCTGGGGCCTTTCTCGCTGGTACATTGGGCGACACCCCAGGGCGGACGCTCCTCTAGCACCAGGGGGCGCGCGGCTGCTCAGGGGCCCTTCTGGCCTGCGGCAGCAGCTCGACTGCTCCGAGGCGGGCCAGGTGAACCCCCGCGATTCCCCGCAACGTGCCGGTACCGCTGGAGCTACTACCATGGAGGTGCCGGTGGGCACCCGGCCTCAGGAAGCTGGCGAAGGGCTAGGCGGGACTAGATCCATGTCCTCCGGCCGCGCAGCGCGGGCCTCCGCGGTGCCCTGGGCGCGCTTCTCCGCCTGGCTGGAGTGCGTGTGCGTGGTCACCTTCGATCTGGAGCTGGGCCAGGCGCTAGAGGTGAGCTGATGGGCTGGCTGACCCACCAGGACCGTCTCAATGCCTTTCCTTCTGCGGCCTGAACCTCTCCGGAGGCCCCTCCTCTCTGGACGTCCCTCCTCTCTCGATGCCCCTCCCCCCACGCTCCTCCCTTCCCTCGCCTGCACCCCTGCTGCTCCTTTCCTCCAATTCCCCTACCCCGCCGTGCGGTTTCTCTACCCCAGGCTCCCACCCTCCAGGAAGCAGGCTTCATGGCCTCCTCGCCTGTAGCCTTCCTGCTTGGTCTAGGGTCCTCTTAGGAGCCTCACTGAATACTTTGTACCCTCAGGCTGACCTTTCCCCCACTTCCTTTGACTAGTGACTAGCTTAGCAACCTCCTTTCCTATTCCCTGTCACCTCTCCAAGTGGAGCCTCTTCCTCAGAGCTCTAGGAGCGCTTCCCAGGCAAAGGAAGGAAAGGTCTCTAAGGCCTGACTGCCTATCCATCAATGTATCCAACGCAGCATCTAACATGGCCCTTTTCCCAAAGAGTCAAAAATAGCTCCTGCCCCTTGGTTGCTAAAGCCAGAGTCCTTGGGTCGGCCTCCCCAACCCCCACTCCCACCCCCAGGTCTCACATGGGGTCTGCTGCAGTCTCCAGTGTCACCCATAGTTGGCTTTCCTGCTAAAAAAAAATTTGTGGCATTCTTTCAACTGGAATCAGATCCAGACCCTGTGAGGCCCTGCTTGGCCCCTCTGTCTTGAGCTCTTCTCAACCTTTGGCATCTGGTCACCAGCTGTGTGCAGTTGGGCAGGGCCTTAGGCTTTTGATGTGGTCTTTCTGTAGTTTAAAGGCTTCCATCCACTTACCCACCTACCCATAAAGGCAGCTTTTCTTCTTCTAGATAAGATGAAAATATCAGACAGGCAGAGTGGTGCACACAAACCCAGCATTTGGTAGACTGAGGTAGGATGTGAGTTTGACGCCAGTATGGGTTATATGAGTCACAGAGGAACCTGAGCTACAGAATGAGACCTTGTCTAAAATAAAAAAACAAACAAACAAACAAACAAAAACATCCAGTGGACATTGTGACACATATCTTTAATCCAATACTCTGGAGGCAGAAGCAGGCTGATCTCTATAAGTTCAAGGCCAGCCTGGTCATCATAATGAGTTCCAGGCAAGCCAAGGCTATATATAGTGAGACTTTGTCTCAGAAAAGAAAAAAGAAAAAAAAAAAAAAAAAAAAAAAAGGAAAACAACAAAACAAAACCACTAGAAAGATAAAGAGGAAGAGAAAGAAAATGTTACAGGCTCAGTGAGGCCTTTGGCAGGAACAGTCAAGATAATGTCTGTGTGCTAAAGGGCCTTGACACAAAGCTGGCCATCCCAGGAGGTCCACTGTAGATGGGGGTTGTCTCAGAGGCAGACCACACTGTCAGAGGGACCTGTGAGAGCCTGAGAGGTTGTGAGTTTACCTTGAGGCAGCTGGTACAGCATACCTTTGTGTGGCTCAGGTTATCTCTGAGAGGCTAGAGGTCTAAAACCTTCTAAACAGAAAAGCATAATCCTTAGGAGGGACTCTGAGGCTCCTTAGAGAACTCAGCCTCCTCCACATGATTCTCGTCACATACACTGTTGGCTGTTGTAAATGGTACCATGATTCTTATCACACAGACTCTGGTAAAAAGTACCACTTGACAGAGGGAGAGGTGACTTACCTTTGGCTGTAAAGCCCCTACTTTCAGCTGTACAAACTCTTTCCCATAAAATCACAACAGAAATTAAGACACTTTTCCTTCAACCAAAGAAAGAAAGAAAGCCTGGTTTGTTGGTTTGCTTGTATTTGCTGTATAGACTTTGCTGCCTGGAATTCACAAAACAAGCTAGGCTGTTCAAAACTTGTGACAGTCTTCCTGCCTGCCTTTCACATGCTGCGCTTATCATCGTGCCTGGCCTGAAGGCGATGTTAAAGGCTATGTGGACTTGGACTCCTGAGCTTCTGCTGAGGCTATTCAGTTGGGCAATGAGTGTTGTTGGAGCGCAGCTGGCTGAGTATTAGAGACCCACAGCCGCCTGGGAAATGTGCAATAGCAGTGCCTTGAGCCTTTTCCACCCCTTACTTGTATATAGAAACCCAGCAGTGAGTCTGTGGGGTGGGTCATGCATGTGACCCCTATCCTGTTTGCCTTTTGTCTTTTCCCCCTTCACCCTAGAAATCTCAGGGAAGTGCAGGGTCCTACAGACTTGCAAAGAGCTTCTGCCCTGCATTCATTCACAGCTCAGCCTGACTGAGTCTTGTGAAGCCCAGGATTGATTGTGGTATGAGAATGTGAAAGAAAGACACATGCCACCTCTGGGAGATTCATACAGGCTCAGCTAAGTGAGGATGGTAAGGAGGCAGTGAGACCCCTCCTCTCAAAAAGCCAATACAATTGAAGGCAAAAAGTGGTCCATTGACTCATTCATTCTTCAGCCAATCAAATTCTGAGTAGCTATCACCAGACAGGTCTGGCTGTGTCTATGCTCAGCTCATGGGATGTAGGCTCTTGTCCTGCAGGAGCTAGCTTTGCTAGAAATAGTTTTGGACTTTAGTACTCACAGGGACTCCAGCACACACACATGGCAACTCTCTGCAGATGGATGCACCAGAACCTATGTGCAAGACAGGGTATCTGTCTTTAAAGGGAAATGGAGAAGGTCATGGTCTTGGGGCCATGTGTGGCTGGTTCATGTAGGTCAGCTGAAGGGCCTGGCTCTGCCATCTCAGTCCTTTAAAACTCAATAACCCAGCTCAACTGGAAGCCTCTGGGGTGTCCTCTGGCCAGTATGTCCAAAGAAATCCTTTACTGTGGTGTTTATAGCCTCCCAGGAGGCAGCTTTCACAGTCTCAGAACTCCTTTGCAGCTTTTGGTGATGGTGGTGGTGGTGGTGGTGGTTTTGGATTGATCTATCCATCTATCATCCATCTATCTATCTATCTATCTATCTATCTATCTATCTATCCATCCATCTATCATCTATTCTATTTTTGAGACAGGGTTTCTCTGTATAGCCAGCCTGGCCTCAGAGATACACCTGCCTCTGTCTTCCCAGTGCTGGGATTAAAGGTGTGAGCCACCACTGCAATTTCTTTCCTTCCTTCTTTTTTCTTTCTTTCTTAATTAGTGAATGATGTGGGAAGGCCCAGTCTGTGGTGGGCACTGCCACCCATTGACAGGTGGTCCTGGATGATATAAGAGAGCAAGCTGAGAGCTGGCATGGTGGTGCACACTTTCAATCCTAGTACTTAGAGGCAGAGGCCATGAGACGTGACCCCTCCCTCAAAAAGCCAACATAGGTGAAGGCGAAGCCAGCCTGGTCTACTAGTGAGCCTGCATGGTTCGTCTGCATGCAGGAACCTGTGGAGGTCAGGAAAAAATTAGAGTTCCTGGAACTGGAGTTCCCCAGTCTCACTGCCTACTCCTCATCCATCCTCTCATCTACCAGCAGCAATCTCTGCCTCCTGAGTGCTGGGATTAAAGATTTGGGCCAACATGCCTGGCCTTATACACACATTTAAAAAAGAAGTCCCCAGCAATGGTGGTACATGCCTTTAATCCCAGCAATTGAAAAGCAGAAGGAGTATCTCTGAGTTCAAGGGCAGCCTGAGCTATAGATCTAGTTCCAGACAGCCAGGGTTTACACAGAAAAACTCTGTCTCAACAAACCAAAAAAAAAAAAAAACAAAAACAAAAACAACAACAAAAAAAAAAAAAAAAAACAAAACAAGAAAAGTAGAGAAAAAAAAAAAGATACAAATAGACTGTGATGGTACTTGTCTTTAATCCCAGCACTCTGGAGGCAGAGGCAGGTAGATCTGTGTGAGGTTTTGTTTTGTTTTTGTTTTTGAGACAGGGTTTCTCTGTAGCCTTGACTGATCTGGACTAGTTTTGTAGACCAGGCTGTTCTCCAACTCACAGCGATTCACCTGTCTCTGCCTCCTTGAGTGCTGGAATTGAAAGCATGCTCTACCACGCCTGGCTCCTCTCTGAGTCTAAGGGCAGCCTGAGCTATATAGTGAGTTTCAAGACAGCCAGGGCTGCAAAGTGAAACCATAACCTCTCTCTGCCCCCCCCCCCCAAAAAAAAAGAAATAGAAATAAGAAAAAGAAAGGAAAGGAAAGGAAAGGAAAGGAAAGGAAAGGAAAGGAAAGGAAAGAAAGAAAGAAAGAAAGAAAGAAAGAAAGAAAGAAAGAAAGAAAGAGTATAGGGGAGGAGGAGGTTACTGGGAGGCCATTACGTGGAGGCTATTACGTGGCCTCCCACATGTGCCTGTGGCCTCCTGCTGAGCTGTCTTAGTGGACATCGTCACCTCAGGCAGATACGCCAAGTGTTCTCTGTCTTCCCCTGCAGCTAGTCTACCCAAGTGACTTCCGGCTCACAGACAAGGAGGTAGGTTCTGGATTTCTTGGGAATGGATGGCCCTGGAGTGAGCCGGCCCTCACTGGGCTCTTGTTTGTTTCAGAAAAGCAGCATCTGCTACCTGTCATTTCCAGACTCTCACTCAGGTAGGTCACCCCACACTCCCTGGACTGGACAGTGCCTCTGGGGCTGGTAAGTAGTAAACAAAAAAATGGGACGATGGGTCACAGGCTAGTGGTATCGAGGCTGCCAGCAGGATGCTCTAAGGTTGGGTCCTCGCTGGAGCCCGAGCTGCAGCAAGGTAGCCAGGCTCTCTAAAACCCATGGAAAGCCTTATATCTGGGCAATCTGGTCTCCTTCACTCCGTCCCATCAGCTACCAGGTGAGAACTATGTACAGAATGAGCCAGGCCCCCACAGGCAGATAGAAAGCGGTTCTCTGTGTTGATTTATCCCAAGACCCTTACGTGGCGTGTAGGATCAGGACAGGAGTCTTTTGGGAACCACAACGTTTCCCTCGAAAGGGCATTTGTGCCAAACGAAGGCCAGCCCAGCGGCAGGCACCCTTGTCCCATGCTCCTCACCTCAGACAATGGAAGGAAATTCTCCCATCTGTGACACACGTGTGTGGTGGGACCGCGTCTTTTCAGGATGCCTCGGAGACACTCAGTTCAGCTTCCGCATGCGTCAGTGTGGAGGACAGAGAAGCCTCTGGCATGTTGACGATGGGCCTTACAACAACAAGGCCCCCTTAGCACTGCAGGTGAGTGGTGGGGTGTCTCTCTGGTTTGGGCCTTCTTTCCCTTTGCCAGGGTCTCCTGGCTCCTGGCTGTGAACATCCCTTTCCAGCCCATCTTGTGAGGTCAATGACCATTTTAAGCCCTGATGACGCTGTTATGGGGAGGGAGGGGTCCTCCACCTAGGCCAGCTCTTACTGGGTTCACCAGGATCACTAAAGTTGATTCTGTGCGTCATCCTTCCTGGCCCCTTGTGTGGTTAAATAAAGTATGGCTCAGTGGGAAGAAGTCTGCAGGGCCTTCCAAGGGTCTTGGGCCACTCTTATGTTGGCTAAGTCCTTTCTGAATCAACACATGTCCCCTAGACTAGTTTAGCCCAGTCTTTGAATTAAAGAATCCCAGGTCCCACGGTAGTAGGCAGAGGGCAGGTCCTAGGCTCAGGGGCAAGTGCCTTTTGGATCTCCTGGATTCTTAGGTCCTCTACTCCCCCCCCCCTTTTTTTTTTAAAGATAGGCTCTCTCACATAGTGCTGGCAGTCCTGAAACTTACTGTGTAGACCGGGCTGATGTTGAACTCACAGAAACCCACCTGCCTTTGCCTCCCAACCTTAGCTCTGAGTGCTGGGATTAAAAGGGGCATGTGCCACCATGCCCAGCCTTAAGTTTCCTTCTTAACGGCCTCTGCTTACGTCACCCTGGATCTAGCTGATACCCAAGATAGGGCATGGCTAACACTGCACTCCTTACAGAGGGAGCCAGCGCACTACCTGGGCTATGTGTACTTCAGACAGGTGAAGGACAGCTCTGTGAAGAGGGGCTACTTCCAGAAGGTGAGCTGCATGCCACTGGGAGATAGTGCGGTGGACAGCTAGTGAGGGGTCCTAGCCTCCAGGGGTGCCTGTCCATTTGCAGCCCACTGGGGTAGTAGGACCAAGGGGGAGCCACCACTGGGCCCAGGACTTCCTGAAGCCCTTCCTTATCTAGTATGGCACTTGAGGCCTTTCTGTCCTCAGGCCCAGAATATCCCAGCTCTCAAGTCTTGCCAGTGTCATCACACTGCCAGGGTAAGGGACTTAGCCAGCCCACATTTCCCTCTAAAGGCCCCGGATCCAGTCCTGCTGTCATAATCTGGTGTTATCCACCCTATGGTGCAGATGTCAGGCTTCTCTTGTACAATCCTGATACATAAGTTAGGCTAGTTTGTGGCAGCTATCCAATGGGGTGGCAGGCATGTGCTGCCCTGGTCAACTGTGAGCGAGCGTGGCTTCAGGGTTGCCATAGGCTCCTGAGTTATAAGAGTGATGTCTATAGTTGAATGCTCTCTGATTGGTCCCACATCATCACAGTCTTTAGTGCTGGTGTCCCGTCTGCCATTTGTCCGGCTGTTTCAGTCACTGCTAAGCCTGATCGCCCCTGAGTACTTTGAGAAGCTGGCACCCTGCCTGGAAGCAGGTGAGTGGCCGCCTAACATGGCCAGCATTGTCTCGTCTCAGCCTTTTGGGAGGGCTCCTGACATCGGCCATCTGTGTCCACAGTTTGTAATGAGATTGACCAATGGCCAGCCCCTGTGCCCGGGCAGACCCTGAATCTACCTATTATGGGAGTCGTCATTCAGGTGAGGGCCAGCTGAAGAGTAAGCAATGCTGGTATTGGTGGGTGGAGTCAGTCTACTCATTTCCTGGCAGCTGCTTCCTTCCTCCCCAGGTACACATCCCATCCAGGGTGGACAAGCTAGAATCCAATCCTCCAAAGCATGACCAAGAGGTGGGGGCCTGGGCCTTAGCCTGATTTCTGTTCCTGGGCTGGATGGTTGTCTCTTCTGCCTCACTAGCCTACTTTGTGGGTGGCCAAACCTAGGCAAAGCCATGGTGGTGGCCAGAGGTGTCTCATTATGGAGCCTGTGCTTGGGAGGAGGGGAATGGCAGGGGTCCAGGGGCTGCAGGGTGATCATCAAATAGAGCCTTTGCCATGGCCTGACTTATCTTCCCTTCACTCCTCAGAACCTGCTGCCAGCCCCAGTCGTCCTCACTAGTGTCCATGAACTGGATCTTTTCAGGTGAGCCCTGAGGGAGCCTACCCATAGTCACACACACACAAGTGTATATGTCATGCCAAGAGAGGCTGCTTGTCTGAGTGACCCAGAGACCCTTGAGGAAACCTGTGTCCAAGCGTCTGACTTAGAGGGAACGGGTACAGTGGGCAGGAAGGTTCTGTGCCCAGAGAGGTTGTCAGGGAGACATTGGCTCTCTGAGGTGCCCCTTTGTGCCTTTCCAAATGTCTTCAAGGGAGCCTGGACTTTGAAATGATCTTGTTCCATTCTGGGCCCAGCAGGAGACAGGGCTTTAGTCCAGAGGCATAAAAGGCAATAGGAGTCGCAGGGCCCTGGATTAGCAGTCCCTCCTGGGACTTTGGATCTTCAGCAGGCTTTCCAGCCCCTCACAGGCAGGGTCCAGGCCAGCATTAGCTCAGGCAGTCTGTTCGAACACGGGCTGAATCTGGTGACCTGAGGCTCTACTTGCTCACCACCTTTGTAACAAAGCCATCTGACTGCCCCAATTGCTCTGTCCTGCACCAGGTGCTTCCGGCCAGTGCTGACCCATGTGCAGACCCTGTGGGAGCTCATGCTCCTTGGGGAGCCCCTACTGGTCCTGGCACCCTCGCCCGACGTGTCTTCAGAGCTGGTGCTAGCCCTGACCAGGTACAAACTTTACCCACTAGCCTGTCATGGCTGTGCCTGGTTACCCCAGCCTTACCCATATCTCACTGCCCCCACCCCAACAGCTGCCTACAGCCCCTGAAGTTCTGCTGCGACTTCCGCCCCTACTTCACCATTCACGACAGCGAGTTCAAGGAGCTCACGACACGAACACAGGCTCCGTGAGTACATGTCCTTCCTCCCTGCTCTCACATACCACCTCCCCTGGGCCTCTCTCTGCCTCTTCTCTCTCTTTTTTTTTTTTCTCTCTCTCCCTCTCTAGACCAAACGTGGTCCTGGGAGTCACAAACCCTTTCTTTATCAAAACACTCCAGCACTGGCCCCATGTCCTCCGAGTTGGGGAGCCCAAGATGGCAGGTGAGAAGTCCAGGGCCTCACCTGCTTGGTACCTAAGCGGTTTCTGTACCCAATTCCTCTGAGCCCGTATTAGGGTACTGAGCCTTGCCTACTTGGTGTATTTCACAGGGGACCTTCCTAAGCAGGTCAAGCTTAAAAAACCCTCTCGGCTGAAGACCCTCGACACCAAGCCAGGTCTGTGCCTCCCTCTTGGGCCTCAGCCCCATCTACCCTGGCAAGGCCTGTCCTGCACTTGGTAGATCCATCCCGTGGTGATGGCCAGGCCTTCTGACTCTTTTTCTTCCGACTCAGGCCCCATGGTGGCAGGTGGGGGGACACTGTCTTCTTTAGCAGGTCCCTTGAGTCTTGGGACGGATGGGGTGAGAGATATGCAGGTTCTCAAGGGAACGGGGCTGTAGGCAGATGAGACAGCCACCTTCATTACCAGTAGAACTGAGGGAATGTGGGAGGGAGGCTGAATGGACAGCCACAGCTCTGACCTCCCGTCAGGCCTCTACACCTCATATACTGCCCACCTCCACCGGGACAAAGCGCTGCTTAAACGACTGCTCAAGGTAGAGGCTGTTGGGTGGGGCCTGGACGTGGGGACTTGGTGTGGTGTGGAAGATGCAGGGTTACCCAGTCAGTACTGAGACCCGGTCCCCTGCTTCCCCCTGCAGGGCGTACAGAAGAAACGGCCGTGGGACACGCTGAGTGCCCTGCTGAGGCGGCACCTCCTAGAGCTCACACAGAGTTTCATCATCCCTCTGGTGAGACAGGCGGGGGTGCGCCATCGCTGGGCGTGATGGAGAGATAGCCGCGGGCGGTGACGGCGGAGGCTGTGACCACAGAGCTTGTGGCCCACGTTCATTCCCTGCTCCTTACCCTTCAGGAACACTACATGGCCAGCCTCATGCCACTGCAGAAGAGCGTCACACCCTGGAAGGTGGAGCCCGGGGTCTTCCGGGGAGGGTCATTTCTGTCCCCATACCAAGAAGGGAAGGCCTGAGGCAGGTGTCCGCATGGAACAGAGAGGGTGCCTATGATGCTGGAGCCACCACGGCACAAAGTTGACCCTGTGCCTGCCTAGTATCCCCCCACCACAGGGCATAGAAATGAGGACGGCAAGGAGGGGCACTGACAGAGCTCCTGAAGGGCTGTCCAGGGATCTGTCCCAAGCAGGGTGGGGTGAAGATCTTCAGAGATACCCTGGGGGGAGGGTCCCATCCTGCTGAAAGGTAGGACCTGTGCTCTTCAGCAACCAGCTCATACAACGTTTGTCTCAGAGCCCCCCCCAGATCTGCCCCTTCCGCCAGGATGATTTCCTGCGTAGCCTGGAGCATGCAGGACCCCAGCTCACCTGCATCCTCAAGGGCGACTGGCTGGGCCTCTACAGGTGGGAAAACGCCCGCCACGGACTGCTGTGGGTGGCCCCCAAGTATACTAGGACAGCCCCTCAGCTGCCTCTTGCCATCACAGGCGTTTTTTCAAGTCCCCCCATTTTGATGGCTGGTATCGGCAACGACACAAAGAGATGGCCCAGAAGCTGGAGGCTCTGCACCTGGAAGCTATTTGTGAGGCGGTGAGGGAAGGCAGAGGGAGGGGGTAGGTGCAGGTCCAGGGTGAGTGGGAGGCTTGGCGAGAAGAACCTGAAATGTCCCTAACAGAACATCGAGGCCTGGATGCAGGACAAGTCGGAGGTGGAAGTGGTGGACCTAGTCCTGAAACTTAGGGAGAAGCTGGTGAGAAACCATTGTACTGCCCGGCGTCCCCCCGCCAGGCCGGAAGGATGTCCGCCCCTTAATACCATTGTCCCTCCAGGTGCGGGCACAGGGCCACCAACTCCCCGTGAAGGAGGTGACACTGCAGCGGGCTCAGCTGTACATCGATACAGTCATTGGCTCCCTGCCCAAGGACCTGCAAGCAGTCCTGTGCCCTCCCTAGGACAGGGCCAACCTGTGTGGTCCTGGGGGCCTAAGTCTGCCAAGTTCCCTCTCCCTTGAAGGCAGGCCTCCACCAAGCTGGAGCTTCCAGCCTTGGGCTCCTACCTCCGCTTCAGCCCCCTTGCGGAACCACCCTTGTCCCAGCAGTAAAGTGACATTTGGAATGACAGTCTGGTCCCTGACTATTGGGGATTCTGTGCTGGCACTGCCTCACTCCTTCCTGGGCCCCACCTGTCCTTCACAGCCAGACATGGGAGTGGGCTAGTAGCCCTCCCTGCTGTAGGTGCCTTCACCACCTGCCCCCTCCTGGCTCCCATCTGCCCACACTCCGGGATGCCTTGTGTTGTGGGTCCTTTAGCCCAGCAGGCTTCTCACCTCAGGACAGAGGGAGGCAGCTGCCAGGGGCAGCCCTTCTCCTTTACAAGTCCACTCATTCCCTCTTCTGCAGAGTGATGGCTATTTCTCCGAAGCAGCTACTTGAGGGGGCAGAAGCTCTTTGTCCTGTGAAGACCTAAATCTCTTTCCTACTGTGATTGGTCAGGGTGAGAGGGATGGTGTGGAGCCTGGCACTCCACTTGGGGAAAAGCAAGCCCAGGCTGTGCTTTGAGGTCCTTACCATAGTCCTTGTTCCTTTTCTTGGAACAGCCCCCTGGACACCTGCCCCATGCATTTCACCCAGGCTGCCAAGGGATACTCCAGCTTTCCCCCTGTGTCTGCCCCTCCCCTTGAAGCTTGAGAGGCTTTGGGCTATAGCCTGCTGCTGCAGCGTTCTCTGCTGTCTTGGCCTTAGGGTATAATTGATCTCTTAGGCAGAGGTGTCTCTTGGAGGTGCTCTAATTAGGAAAGGGCTCAGTGTTCCCAGGGGGTTGAGTATGCCAAGCCTTCCTCTTCCTTCAAGGCTCTATCCTGGCTTCTGCCCCTCCCCTCAGAACCACCTTTGTACCAGCAGTAAAAAACATTTTGGAACCATATCCTAGTCCCTAAATGTTGAAGGAGTCTGTGCTGGCTGTGTCTTACCTCTTCCTGGATTGGATACTGTTGTTCAGTGCTCCAAGCCTGGGTACAATGAGTTACAAATGTTCCAACCCAGCACAAAACAGGGCCCTTTGGAGCTGCAGCCAAACCCCAGCTGAGTATCAGAAACCTGTAGGTGGATCTCTTGACTACTTAGACTCCTCTTCTGAGAGACTGGGTTATGACGATGGCTCAGTGGACAGTGTTGGGCAGGAGCAGGGAAAGGGCATTCAGAGAGAATATATTGGACATCCTACAATCCTTTCAAGAGGTGCTAGCAAAGTAAGCTGGTTTAGAGACAAGGTTTCCCTGTGTAGCCTTGGCTATCCTGGAACTCCCTCCATAGACCAGGCTGGCCTTGAACTCACAGTGGTCCTACTGGGATTAAAGGCGTGTGTCACCAATGCCCAGCCAAGCTTTTGCTTTCTTAAAGAGCTCCCATGTGGCATAACCTGTTCTGTGTTCCTTGGACTCCTTAATCAAACCCTCAAGTATGTACTTCCTTGCCCTTCCCAAGTGATCCTTGCCAAGTGCAAATACAACAAAGGCATTCCAGTGTTAACAGTTCCCAGCACCAGCACCGTCCATGTGTTCATTTGTTTACCCCTGACTTACGACAGCTTGTCACACTGTACCCACTTTACAGGTGAGGAATCAGACAAGGTAGATGCGATGAAGGTATACAGTGAGCTAAGTCAGTCTAATACAGGGTCCATGGATGTGACCAGTTAGAAAACTGAGCAGAGGCAGGTTGAGGTGGAGAGCTTGGCATTAGGAAGAGTGGTGCTGGCACCCCCTGGGACAGAGGTGCCAGCTTCATCACCAAGATCCTGGTCTCCAAAGGCTCTTTAGAAACATGGCACCTTCCTCTGTGACAGTTGGAGCTCCCAGACTATGGGGACAACAGAGTACTAGCCATTTGGAGTCTGCAAAACTGTCTTTGGTGTGCCCAGCCTCCTATCCAAATGCACACTGAGCCTCCCAGGCCTTGGTGGTGCCACCCTGAAAGCACATCCCAGATGCCACTGCAGTGTGTTTCTCATGTTTTTCGATAGACTTTCCGGGGCTGCTGCACAGTAGGCTTCATTGGTGGCCCCTGAGGGCTGCTGCACAGTAGGCTTCCTTGGTGGCTGCCCAGGACCTCAGCCACCATCAGCCTGTGACTATAACCAGCTTCTCTCCTGCCAGTTGGTCATCCTCAGAATACTGGACATGGGACTCAGGAGACAGATTTAGGGGGAAGTGGGAGGGTGTGGACACAACTGTACTGCCTAGGGCATATACCCAAGGCTGAGCCAGGAATGAGGGAACTTCCAGTCCTTTTGAGGGGCTTTTCCTGGCTACTGGGCGGAGTATACAGCCTGGAACCCCTACCAGCTACATCCTCTCCCACTGTTGCTCTCCCAGAATGGGATAGGCTGCACAGAGGAGCTCAAGCCCAACCCTTCCCATCCATGCCAAGGGCAGGGCCTAGAGGGAAGAAGACAGATGGCTTCAAAGAGGTGCTCCCCTCCCCCCACTCAAAGAGCCCTCATGGTTAAGATGTCTGGATTGTGAAAAACTAATCCTAGAAGCTGTGGTCCCCAGGGCTCCCTTGTGTGGCAAGTTGGAGAGAGCTGTGAGCCAGCATTCAGGGGTTCTAGGAGGGTTGGGTGGAGGTCATGAGGCAGCCAGCCCCAGGGACAGACCGGAAGGACTGGAAGGCTCTTTTACCCTCCAGCTTCCTGCCTTCTATTTTGAGCCCTACTCAGTTTGGAATACTGGCCTTCCCACAAGTTTGGTATTAAATTATCTTTTTATGATTCAGTAGTTGTCTTTTAATATTTTTGATACAAAGTTTGCAGCCCTCTTATTCACTGGATATTTTCGAGTCCCTTGTATGAGTGTGGGGGTGTTGAAATCACTGGATATTTTGGAGACTTGTGTATGGGGGTTGGGGTTTGATGGTGGAGTGGAGAAGGTGATTCAACAACGCCTGGCTTCCTGTCGATGGGGCAAGTCCAACTTGCTGAAAGAACCAGTGAAATCAGATTTGTAAAGTTTTCAGGTTGGGGAAGTCTTAAGAATTGGGGCAGATCCCCAAAAAGAGATGCCTGAGGAAATAGGAAGTATTCAAGGCAGGCAAATTTGGGCGAGGAGATAGATATCCCAGGGTGGGTATGAGCTGGGCTTTGGGGACTAGTCCTAAACCCTGTTCTGAGACAGTGGGATCACCGCTACGTTACAAATCCAAGGGACCACAGGCTGGATGACTTGGAGGCCAAGAAGTAGGAACCCTAGGGTACTCTTTATAGATATTGGGGGATCCGGAAGGCCCAGAGATGCTGGGTCACTGGATCAAGGAAGGAAGCCAGCGAGGGCGCAGTTCCAGCTCTGAGGACTCCGTTAGGGTTCGGGAGAATCAAGGTTCAGCAGCCCTCACCCTCCGAAACCGCATGAGCGCGTGGTCCGCCTGTTGCCAATCTGTTAATGAGGTTCCTTGCGCCCCGCCCATCTCAAAAAGGACACTTGAAGCCTCGGTCTGGCTCAGCCGAAGCCACCCACTAATGCCGGGCTGCGTGCGCCATTCAGTTCGGCCTGGGGCACTCCCGGGGTGGTGCCCAGTCTGAGCGAACTCCACTGACGACCGGGCGGCGCGGGGGTGGGGTAGGGGGGACGAAACTGAGGGCAGGCAGGGAGCGCGGATTGCTACAGTGCGCGAACCTCCAAGCAAAGCGGTGTGCTTAGTGGCTCAGAGCCGAGGGGAACGCGGGGTGCGCTAGGGACGCCAGCCGCCCCTCGTTCCCTCCCACCGCTATCCTTTACCCCTTAGTCTCGTCCCTCCCTCTCGCCCGCCCCCTGTCCTCCCCGCCCTCCTTCTCCCCTGGCGGAGGCGGGGCCGGCGGCTCCCGCGCGCTCCGGCCCCTCCTCGGCCACACAAAGGCCGGTCTCCATGGCAGCCGCGCGGGCCAGAGCGCAACGCAGAGCGCGGCCCCGGCGCCATCGAGCGAAGGCTGCGGAGGAGCAGGTACCGCACTTGGGGACGGGAACTGCGGGGGCGTCGCGCAGGCCCAGGCTTCGCCGTCCACGCCACTCGGCCTCGGCCTGCGCACCCGGACGCGGGGGTCTTAGGGCAGTGCCGCTGTGTGGAGGGCGGCGCGGGCCTGCGTCTTTACCCTGTGTCTGTCTGTCCAACCGGCTGGGCCTGGCTGCTGTTGCCCCACCGGTTGGTGACGAGGCCCTCTGCGCCGGGATGTTGGGGAGACTGGCCTGGCAGGCCGGGTTCCCGCGATCCAGTGGAGCTGCACCCTTCGCGGTGTAGTTTCGTACCCCCTCCTACGGCCGGCGTCCCCACCTCTCCACCGCCCAGTCGGTGGACCAGAGCGGGTCGTCCGTGTTTTGCCGGACCCCCAGGCCCCAGTTCTCAAGCTAAGCCTGCTCAGACGCCGGGCTCTGCTGGGTGTTTTTACAGAGGTACACAACCAAAGCAGTTCCCACACCTTGTGGGACGGGGAACAAGGGACCGAGAGAACCAACACCCTGTAGTACCTGGCGAGGCCCCACGCCTCCCGGCAAGAGGCAACTCCTCGCGGTTTCTAGTGTAGTTCGTGGTGGTGGTGTTTGGAGGGACACCTAGGATGCAGAGGGCTTGGAACTTGGAGGAGCCTTTTCACAGTCTAGCCCTTCCCTTCCACATTACCTTCCGCAGGGAGCTCTTAGGCTTACTGCTTCCTACGGTTGGGCTGTGTGGCAGGTTTGTGAGTGGGTGGTACCTTTCCCCCTATCTTGGGAGTTCCTGAGCCTAAGAATCCTAGAGTTTCTGGCCACGTCACTTAATTCCTTTTTTTTCTAGCTCCTTGGAGAAGGGAGGTCGGACTGTGGCTACCATGGTGGCGGCGGTCAGAACTGGAGCTGAAGCCAGGTCCCAAAGCCAGTGTCATGTTCTGAGGAAGCCCTCGGGGGCCCTCTTTTGCCCCCACTAATGTCTGTCTTCAGTCTGTATCGGTGGTTTTAAAGCTGAACTCCTCAGACTGGCCCCACACACCTTGTGGGTGGGAGCTGTCAGTTTGATCCCACACCCGGATTGCCAGTCCTGGTATACAGGGAATGCCATCAGAAAGTTGGCCTGCCGGTGGGAAGAGCCCTTGCTCTTTGGCCAGGAGGCGAAGTTCTTAG